TCGACTCGGCAGCAGCCGCGGGCGAGACCGATGATCTACTGCCGGTAGAGGGGGCTGTTGTCCAGACGAAGAGGAGACGCGTCGCTGCCTTTCGCTAGCACCAGACCCTCGGTAGGTGTGGTCTGCCGACCAGTCTACACTACTCCTCCCTCCCTCCTTGAGACTATTACACATCATCTTTCATCTTACGTGATGTCACATTAATCTTCATTGTATAAAGGACCGAAGTTTTAGGAGTAAGTTCATTTATTAGGTTTTGTTTTACGGACTTAGGTACTAATATATTGCGAGGAGTGGGCGTGGCCAAGTCCCAGATGGACAGCGTGCTGGCCTCCCCCCCCACGATCAGGGTCCGTCCGTCAGGGAGGATTTTACAGGAGCGGATGTAGTTATCCCTGTTCTGATGGGACAAAATAATAAAAATGTTCGAGTTAAGCTAGAAGTGATTGATCTTGAAACACTGAACGTTTAAGGCCGAAATACATTTCTGATCTTCTGCTAAATTATGAACCATCCTTAGGTCGGTTATGATGGGTCTACTTTCTTTCCCCAGAGTCAAAACTAAATATCAAGATGTGGCATTCAGTTATTATGCTCCAAATCAGATTTAGGGGAATTCAAATCCAGTACGGCATTTCACGCATTACAAATGGTCTCCTATTTGATACCTGCTTCTCCATATATACACAGATATACACATTATGAATATCATTTTCATAATCACATTTTCCTTCTTTCTTTTCAACGAAATGTATTGATGTTTTTTTAGTATAAGTTCTATAATTATGTCTCCATCATTATTGAATTCAATCTATTGTTTGAATATTGATCTTGTCCTTTCTTTCAAGTTGAGATTTGATTGGGTTTACCATTTGTTATCTGTTATTTTTATGTCATTTTAAATTGTGCAAAGCAATACAATACAAGAAAAAAAATATCTGCAAGTCTGCTGCAACCCCCTATTATTTTAAATCAAGACTGATTATTTGTATTATTGCCCCTGCCTTTTATTAAATCAGATAATTATTCCTCTGACACCGCACTGTGACTTTTATTCTTGTATTTTATAGCAGTCTTAATCTATTTGAACCTCTCTTTAATTTGTATTATATGGGCTTTTTAATGATTTTGGTTTTTTATTTGAGTGTAATTTCATAATGTGTTTCTATTGCATTATGTCTTTGGGCTTTTAATGTTTTTTTGCGCAGCACTTTGATTTGCCTTGTTATCAAAATGTGCTATATAAATAAACTTGCCTTCCTTTGCCTTTTCTATGAGGCTTTATGGGACAGATAGTAACAATGTGGACATTTTGATAATGTTAACAAAATCTATGAGAAAAAATGACACAAGAAAGCTGCAGCCTGATGTGTGAATGTGTGTCTGTGAATCCATTTCTATTTTAAACACACTCTGCCTGTTTGGCTTCCTCTCTCGTCTCCTCTCACCAGACAGTCCAGCTGGGCCATGGGGCTCTTGCTCCCCGGCTGGCTGATGTCCCACACCTTCACGCAGCCCTTTCCTCCGGTGTCGCCGTGGCGGGTGGAGGTGCTGATGGGGACCGGCAACACACCACCTCATCCGCTGGTTCAGGGTGTGGATCTGACGGGCGTGCCGAGGGATCCCCGGGCCAGCAGGCGTCGGGGGGGAAAAGGGAACCGGCTGCCATCTGGCCGTCTGCGCTCCACATGGGAACGAGTAGCTCTGCGGAGAAACAGAAAGAGAATAAAAATCAAGTACTTCAGGAGGAGGGCTCAAATGAAACGAGTTTTGAGGGCACAGCAGAGGACAGTGAAGGATACATGGAGGGGATAAAGGACAGAGAAGATGGAATCAATCAAATTTTAGATCAATGAAAAGAGGCAGCACAGGTAAGTAAACACAATGCACTAACAGGCCTACCAAGCGAATCAGAGAGTTGAGACTGCAACGGTATGGTTTGGATCTTCGTCATATTTGCCTGAATTCTGGCAAATTTTACTAGCCCCAACTGTAGCTTGGAGGCGGATGTCATCACTGGGCAATTGTATTACAGAGCAGAGGCAGTTGGCATTGCTAATGGCCGATCAATAGTGTAGCTGTTGGAGACACAGGCTGTTTTATGATTCAAATTAGCACCGCAAGAAGAATTGCCTGCGTCTGCAACAAATGACAAAACAACCTCATTCAACAA